ATGACACACAATGGTGCCAGGCCAGCCAAGGCAGGTGCAATGCGGTTGGTCTGGGGGCCCACCATTACCCCACAATCACCCTGCAAAGGGAGGCCCAGGCCACTGGTTGGCAGGGCAATCAATCGGAGGGGCGGGGGAGCCTCTGCAATTGCCCCAAAGAGGGAGTCCCAGGCCACCAGCCAGCGGGATGATCAATTGGGGGGCTCCGCGATCAATCACCCCAAAGAGGGAGGTCCAGGCTACTCGGCCTGTGGTGCTGTGGTGGGTGGGTGGGGCCTTCCTCTGCAGCGCAATCAATCATGAGGCTCCTGGATGCAAAAGGGCACAGGCCAGGCTGAGGGACCTCCCCCTCCAACCCCAAGTGCACTAATTTCGAGCACTGGGCCTCTAGTATTAAATAAAGCCTGTGGGTTAAACACCCCAGCAGATAACTCTAGAGCAGGGGTGGGCAAACTTTTTGACTCGAGGGCCACAATGGGTTCTTAAACTGGACCGGAGGGCCAGAACAAAAGCATGGATGGAGTGTTTGTGTGAACTAATATAAATTCAAAGTAAACATCATTACATAAAAGGGTACGGTCTTTTTTTTCAATAGTTTTATTCATTTCAAACGGGCCGTAGTTTGCCCACGGCTGCTCTAGAGTCTCAGAAGATTCTCAAATGGTCAGGTTAGACAGATAACTCTAGACTAGAGTCTCAGAAGATTCTCAAAGGCAGATGTTCAGCAAAGGCTAAGAATATTGGAGAGAAAAACAGTAGAATCATAGGATCAAACACATAGAAAATCAACTGGATTTCTTTGGTGATTCTATTTCTTTCTTTCTTTTTTTCTCCTTGCCCTGTCAGGACAAAAAAAGAGAGAGAGTAATACTGGGCTTGAGCAATTAAGTGAGATATATAAGGGGGAAGTTTGAAAATTCAATAATATACTACATAATCCTTTCCTCATCTCAATTATATCCTTACCTGATAGATACCTACTTTCCTCCAATTCTTTGAAGATATTAAAACTGATATTGGTCTCTCTCTCTCCCTAAGAAAATGATCATTTTCTTTATCCTCAATTCTGTGCATGTAGCATTTAACAACATAAGCCCACTGTTCTACTTCTTTTCCTATTCTATCTTCACCTCTGTTCCACTTTAGTCACTCTTTCCAATACCACTCCTTCAGTTTTCCCATTTCCTTCACTGTTCTAGCTCTTGTCTTAAGCATATACTATTCTACTTTCAAGTTACAATCGCAATCCTTCACCTAAATTCAAAACCCTACCTCTACTCATCAAGATCTATAGACACTTCATTTCTATTTGCTCTAAATCGTTGCAGTTCTTCCTCACTCCCTTCTGTGGTCCTTCTTTGGAAGCAGGATAACTGGTGGTTAACCCAGATAAAATATGGGTCAAGAATGCTTAAATTTGAACTCCAACATCTTCAGTTTTTAGCTATGTAACATTTGGGAAGTTTCTTAATATTATTAAGATCCAATTTCCTTTCTAATAAATGATTATAAAAGATGACTTACTGTATAAGGCTGAAATTAATATTAAAGAGTTATTTTATATAAAGAAGTTAACATAGTGCCTGGAACACTATAAACACAGTATCTTCCACCTAGTATTAATATTAGTCTTTAACTATGTTTTATCAATTCAACTATTCTAATATACAATTTGGGTGTTTAGTTTTTCATATTAACAATTACCTTTTCCATTTCTACTCACACTCTATAGACAAGTTCAAGCAAATATAATTCAATCATCAAATATTTATGACATCCCTTTCTATCTTTAGTCTAAATTGTCTTCTTTGAACTCCAGGCATATATTATATATAGTGTGGGACTGGTATGGTATGGATATTATACCAAACCTCAACCTCAACATGTCCAAATATGAATCTATCATCACCTTCCCTTTACCATATGGTATCCTCCAGTGTTTTTTGCAACCATGATGAATGTGAAAAACAATGATCCAAATGCAAAAAAAAATTAAAAACTAGGGCCCTAACTTGGATTATTCATTCTTCCTACATACCTATACTTAATTACTTATTTAGCTATATAGATCTGTATTGTACACTCTTGAAAAATATTTCATTTCTCAATCATCACTACCTTAGTGCAACCCCTTCCTTTTCTTGTGTAGATTGCTGCAATAGCCTTTTAACAGTTCCCTTTGAACTCAGAATGTCTTTCCTCAAAACAAACTTAATAAACAAAAGCTATCTTCACTGCTTTCAGATTTCTCTTTATGAAATTGAAATCTGATAATAGTACTCCACTGCTTAAATTATTTCAATGTTTCACCATAGTCTTCAAGAAAAGAAAAAATTAGCATGTATGTGCAGCTTTTTTTCTCTGTTTATCATCATGGAGTTGAATTTGCAGGGCTCAGATCCATACTCGGATCCATTTATTAACTCTGTGGCCTCCAACAAGTTACTTTGCCTACCGAATATGTAATAATCTAATGTATGTAATAATCTAATAATGTAACTTTTCAATGGACCTTTATTTCTCTTAGCTTGGACTTTAAATTCTGGAATTCTGCTTCCAACATCTTTTCATATTTATTTAAAGCAGTAGCTGGTACTTTGGTGGTACACAATAACATTTAATGGAATAACTAACATCAATGTACTAATTGCTTTACAATTACAATTCATTAGGTTATCTCCACAAATCTTTTTGGTAGGCACAGTAACCTTAAACATGAAGAATACCGCCAATTAGAGAAATTAGCATCTTTCTCACTGTCACATGTCCAGTTAGTAGAATAACTATGATTCAAATCCAAATCTGTCCGTCTCCAATCTCTCAGCTGTCTATTAGAGGACAAGCAGCTGACACAGTTATAGATGCCTCCATTCCTATTTTTAATTAAAACCTTCAACTGTCATATGTGATAAAAAAAAAAAAAAAGTATAGCTGAATTTAATTTTCAATGGGGTAAGCATTTGAAGTGTTCCTCAAAGTGTCCATCAGGTTCTCTGAGGGTGATTTAAAATACAAATCCCCAAACTACAACTTAGAATTCCCTCTCTAAACCTGGGATCTCTCCGTTTATTATCAGCAATAGCCCTGACCAGTGTTGGTAAGTGGTTAGAGCTTCAGGCAGTGCATGCACGGAAGGGTCGCTGGTTTGATCCCCGGTCAAGGGCACTGGTTTGCAGGTTCCATTCCCCACCCTGGTTTGTTCACATGTGGAAGGCAACCAATCAATGTGTGTCTCTCACATCAATATTTCTTTCTCTCTTCTCCCTCTCTCTCCCACCCTTCCACTTTTAAAAAAATTAATAGGGAAAAATTCCTCTGGTGAGGTTTAATAACAACAACAAAAAATTACTGGTAATATTTCCCAAGAGGTTGATAATGGACACAAAGAGAACCACTGGCCAAAAATGAGGGATAGATATGCAAGATGTCATTACTAATCGTCCAGTTGCTAAATATGATGGTCATAAGAGTAGAGAATGTGCTTATTGCCATTCAAGCTTATTGCCATTATTATCAAGCTTATGACTAAAAAACAGATGAAGGAAATGGTTTTAATAATTATTCTGCGAAGTCCACCTAAACTGGGAAAAAGAAAGAACAGAGAATAAAAATCTTATTATTTATTGCTGGAGCTATGTGGCATATAATGCCCTAATTCACTGGTATCTTATTTCTGTCTATTTTCAGGCAAATGAGAGCGTTATACCTTCCTGCCTGTGAAGACATGGCCACGTGATTTGCTCTTAGCAATTATATGAGTGGAATTTATGTTTGATAGTTCTGTGTGAAACCGTTTAATTGCTTTTGTTCCACTTTCCAGTCACCTCTTACCTGACTCCATATGAAGGTGTGTACATATACACTGAGCAATCACACAGGTGAACTCTCTTCTGGAGAGGTGCTGAGGCTCCCACTGAGCATCAAAGAACTAAATCACGAAGATTTTGTTTATGATTTTTGTTGTTGTTGTGACGTAACATTAACTGTGCCAGTATACTAACTGATATAGAGTGTATTTACATTATGTCTAATGAATTAAAAAAATAAACTCAATTAACTAACCAAAAATGTTCAAATCTGTAATAATAAAAGTGTAATATGCTAATTAGACCAGACAGCCGAACGACCTTCCAGACATCATTCCTGATGTCCTTCCAGATGAAGCTGCCATAATAGGGGCAGAGGCAGAGGTGGTTAGGGTTGATCAGGCAGGCAGGTGAGCAGTTAGGGGTGATCAGGCAGGCAGCCAAGTGGTTAGAGGCAATGAGGCAGGCAGAGGGGTTAGAGGTGATGAGGCAGGCAGGCAGAGTGGTTAGGGGCAATGATGCAGGCAGGTGAGCAGTTAGGAGCCAGCAGTCCCGGATTGTGAGAGCGATGTCTGATTGCCGGATTGGGCCTAAATTGGCAGTTGGACATCCCCCGAGGGATCCTAGGTTTAGAGAGGATGCAGGCTGGGCTGAAGGACCCCACACTCCCGTGCACGATTTCATGTACCGGGCCTCTAGTTAATTACAAATAAAGGAGACATAGTTGGTCAGCTGATTCATTTCAAGGAGTAGGTTCAAGTGCCCTTAGGCGGGGAAAAAAATATCCCTAACTTTATTTCAGATAGTAGAGGTCCCTAAGAGGCAAAGTGAAAACAACTAAGTGAAAAAATAATCTTTAATACCAGATTTGTCATCAAATACTTAGATTAGCTTTAGGATGCATGCTATCAAACTAGGTGATTTTCAAAGCTGAAAAGTAACCTCCTTTGAATTTCATGTGACACAAAGTAACCTTAATCTCCATAGTATTTTTAAAGTAAACTTCTTAATGCTACTCAAGGCCAAGCTGGTTATTAAAAGATTTGAGCACTGGTCCATGTGGCTCAGTTGATTGGGCATCATCCCAAGCACTGAAAGGTTGTGGGTTCAGTTCCCAGTCAGGGCATGTGTCCAGGGTTTGATCCCTCACATCAGTCTCTCTCTCTTTCTCTCTCTTTTCCCTCTCCCCCGCTTTTCTCTCACTCTCTAAAACAAAAATAAGCAAACAAAACACAGTAAAAATCTTTAAAAAAACAACAAAGAATTACTTCTCAATGGCTTCACAGTGCAGCCATCCCCAGGCCCAATCTTCCAGGTCCCCTCAGTTCTCTGTAGTCTTTGCTGTTTCTAAATAAAACAAATAAATAAATAAATAAGAGATTTGAAATATTTTTGTTGATATGAAAAAACTATATAATGTAATGCTTATTGTTAAGAGGCATTCAATTCATTTTTCATTTTGTGTGTGGAGCAGTTAGAGCTCTTGCTTTATGTTTGGAATTTTTTTTTAATATTTTTATTGATTTCAGAGAGAAGGGGAGAGGGAGAGAGAGATAGAAACATCAATGATGAGAGAGAATCATTGATAAGCTGCCTGTTACATTCCCACACATGCCTACAACCCGGGCAAGTACCCTGACCAGGAATTGAACCATGACCTTCGGGTAGGCCAATGCTCAACCACTGAGCCATGCCGGCTGGACTGCATTATTTTTTATATGCAGTGGAGGGCATAAGGCATGGGCTTAAATGGGTTCCATTTGAAATTTGAGATGTGCCATAAATATATAGCAGTGTAGCTGCTTTAGAATCAATTTTCATATCATTTTTCTATGGAAAGAAATCTGGATTTATCTATATGTTAATCACAAATGTCAACAAAAAAAGTCAATCTGCTAATACTTGTTCTAAGAATTGATGACAATAAGTCGGGGAAGGGGGCATTTTATTTTTCTTTCTTAAGAAGCAATTACTGTCAGTATGTTCTGGAAAAATATGGACAACAAGTCTAAAGAAATACTCTAGCTTTCCTCCACCTGTTTTATGGTTGTTTCAGTTTAATGAGGCAAGCTGTCTTTTCATTCACTCCACAGTTGCTTTTCTTGGATTTATCAAGTGCCACACAGTGATGAGACACTAGGGGATATGTGCTGCACCAAACAAAGCAGAGCCCTGCCCGGAAGATATTTGCATGGTAGTGTGGGAGCTGGGCACCTAATCAATCACACAAAACAACTGAAATGTGAAACTGTTAAATGATCCAGAAAGGCAAGATAGGGAACATTCTGAAAGTATAGAATAGAAAATTGACTTAATCAGAGACACCAGGAAAAATATTTTTGAGGATGTGACACAAAATGATTAGTAGTTAATTAAGCAAAAATGTGTGCATGTGTGTTTCTGCCAGTATGTGTTCACACACATATGTGTGTACACTTAGCATTCCAGGAAGAGGAGACTGTAGATGTACAGGCCTTATTTTAAGAGGGGTTCAACAGTTAGGACTACTGGAGTGCTGCAAAATGGCTGACTGGAGTAGAGGGGTGCAGAGGAGACTACAAGGAGATGTAGAGGCCAAACTCCACAGGGCTTATTAAAACACTAGAGGCCCAGTGCATGAAATTCATGCATGGGGGTTGGAGGAGGGTCCCTCAGCCTGGCCTGCACCCTCCCGCAATCCAGGACCCCTCAGAGGATGTCTGACTACAATCGTACATCCCTCTCACAATCCAGGACTGCTGGCTCCTAACTGCTCGCCTGCCTGCCTGCCTGATTGCCCCTAACCACTTTGCCTGCCTGCCTGATTGCCCCTAATCGCCTCTGCCTTGGCCCCTGCTGCCACTGCTTTGACAAGAAGGTTGTCCAGAAGGACGTCCAGAATGACATCCAGAAGGTCTTTTGGCTGTCCAGTCTAATTTGCATATTATGCTCTTATTATTATAGATTAAGATATTTTGAGTACTTTCTTGAGCTTTCCAAACTAAAATCTTCATGTTTATTCTCAATTGCATCTATTAAATTTTTCAGAACAAAAGTCTTCTTTTTAACACTATATGGCTCAATTATTGTCCTAAATTTTATAATGTTTTATATAGGCATAAATGATAAAAGGAATGTTGGGAGGGGACAGAAATGGAGGGAAAAAATGAATAATCAGCAATTAAGAGAATGGATAACAGCAACAATTCTAAATTATATGTTCATTAGTTATTCATTAATAATGAATAATTAAAATGCATTGAGCCCTTCAGCAGTAAGAACACTTTACATATCTTATTTCTAACACACGCATCATCTGGCCCGATAGATAGCACTATCAGTACCAATTATCAACAGGCACACTGGGGCAAGGAAGAGGTAGGTTGTTTACCTAAAGCCACAGAGTTAATGGGCACTGGCACAGCTCAAAGGTACTGCAGGTTCAGTTCTTGACCCCTGCAATAAAAGAAATATCACAATAAAGCAGGTCTCACAAATGTTTTGTTTTCCAATGCATATAAAATCATGGTTATACCTTACTGTAGTTTATTAAGTGTGCAGTAGCATTATGCCTAAAAATCAATGCACAATACCTTAATTTAAAAAAAAATGCATTATTGCTAAGAACTGCTATCTATTATCTCCTAGTCTTGCCTTGAAATTGATGAAGATGCACTATCTGTGAAGGGTAATAAAATGAGGTATGCTTGTATAAGTGCCAGGATTTAAACTCTATTCTCTTAGAGTTCAAAGTTTATGCAGGCTCCCACTGTGATAAAAGAGTGCTATTATTGTAAGAATAAGAGCAAGTTGACTTTGAAAGAAATATCGAATGTTTTCAGTACATACTTTTAATTCCTAAAATTATATTTAGATGTATATCAAGAGGCTTCAGGATAAATGAAAAATAGCTTTCTATTTTATTGAATTCCAAATAAGGAAGGCAAATTTCTCTCCAGTTTTCAACAGTGCTTATTCAACAAGTTAATGTTGATAAATAGGCTAATAATGACATGGATACAATGTAAATTCCCAAAACATAGCTAATCTGATCCCACAGAAGTATTTATTATGGTAGTTAGATTACTTTGGTATTATTGCTTTGGATCCATTTAGTGTATTACCAGTGTTTGGCATGATATTAATAGTATTGGTGTGGGGAGTTTACTGTTCATGAAAATGGTGAAAGCATTAATATATATCACATATAATTCAGACTTCAAATTGAAAAGGGTTTCCAATTATTGATACACTAATTTTCTGAACTAGTTTTGAAATATTTCAATACAACTATTTTAATAACAACTAAAATATTTATATATCTTTTCATTGTGATTTCCAATGACAAAATTCTCAAATTTGTGGAGCTATAGCTTCATGTGTTAAACACAATGATGCCATTTATATATTTTATAAACATGAAACAAAAATTCATGCATTGTAGGAAAACTTTCACCAGTAAATTAGAAACTTTAAGTATTTATGTAAAGTCTCTCAGGATAGTGAAATACAGGTTAGAAATAATAAAAATGATATTCCTAATAATGCCCAACCTATTTTTATTAATAAACTTTATCTTTTAGAATACCTTTTGATTTATAAAAAAATTGAGCAGACAGTACATAGAGTCCCCATATTATACCCATTCCCACAAGAATCTCATCCAAGCTCTGAAATATATTTAATTATCAAGTCTCCTTAGGTTCTTCTTGACTATACCATTTTCTTAGACATTTTTCATTTTTTATGACCTTGATGGTTTTGAGGAGTATTGGTCAGGTATATTGTATAAGATGCCTCTCTATTAGAAGTTGCCTGGTATTTTTTTTTTCATGATTAGACTAGATTTGTAGGTTGTTTAGAGGAAGCTAACAGATATAAAATGCCATTTTTATCACATTACATGGAGGGTCTACACTACTAACATGCTTTATAACTTTCCATTTTGACCTTGCTCAAGTGGTTGAAGTGGAGTTTGTCAGGTTTCTTCATTGTAAAGCTATTCATTTCCCCCTTTTCTGCACTCTATTCTTTGGAAGTAAATCACTATGTACAGTTTACACTTAAGTTGTAGTAGTTACACTCTCTACTTTAAGATGCGATATTTATAAATAGCTCAATTTTGAAAATGAAATGTATTTTAATAACACTGCCTCTATAATTATTCAAAGCGTATATACACATTTTTTTGGTACACCCTATATATGTAATCATTCAGTCATTTATTTCAGTATGAACTTGTGGATATTTATGTTGTGCTTTGGGTTATAATAAATACTATTTATTTGTTTTGTCATTCAAATTGTTTTATCCTTGGCCATTGGGAGCTTTTTCAGTTGGCTCTAGGGTACCTTTAATATATCACCATTGATGGGGTTTTGCTTATTTGGTTGGAATCTTTGAATGCCCTTACTTTCTGGCACTACATATAATTAGCCATTTCTATTAGGATCCCTGATTTATTTAAATGAAGAATAATATCAGAAACCAAGATCTGGGTGCTAGGTGTGCTCATTAATACCAGGGTGCCATTTTTTTAGACCATTTCAGCTGACAGAGAAAGAAATATATTTGTGTATACTTACCCATGTATATATACAGATCTCTAGATATTTCTATATGTAGCCATCTTCATAATAAATAAAATAATTTCTTATTGATGTCTCCAACTTTAATCTACTACCACATTGATCATTTTGGCCTTCTTTCTTTGATTATCTGTAAATTTCCAATGTAAACATAAGAAACCTGGCTCTGAGATGGGAATCAGGTAAATGAATCTGCCATCAGTTTTTCAGTTCAAGTATACGTGTATAGAAATATCAAAATTGTTAACTCATACTCTCATTTAAAACAACTTTATCAAATAGAATATAGTGTTTATGCACAGTTTACTTTACCTTAAGTCATTTTCAAAGGTCAGAACATTTTCCCCTCCCCCTACAGGAGGCTTTTGTCAAACATTTGTAATACAGGTAGATTATCTCATCATAGTCTGCATTCTTCCTTGGAATCCTCCAAGCTCCTAATTTTTTATTAATATACACACATTAACATTCGTTCTTTGTGTTGTAAAGTTCTATAGGTTTAAACAAAAGCATAATGTCATATATCCACAATTACGATATCCTACAGAATAATTTCAACACAAAGATATTTTTACTAAATGATAATATTCTTGGCAGAAAAAGAAACTTTTTCTAAATATTTACTAGGACCTTTGGAAAGTATTGTCATCAGGCTAAATTTTGTATTCTTTATTGAATGATAATGATTGGAAAACTATCTACATTTATTATTATGGATGTTATTATTATTAAATTAAGGCAAATTCTATAGATGAGCTAATTAAAACACTGCAGTAAACTTTGGATAATATCAGGAAATATACCAATTTTATACATTTCAATAAAGTGTTGTGTTATAAATCAAATTTATCATAATTTAAAAAAAACAGCGTGTATATTCTTATTGTCCTGGAATTAGTTCTCTCAAATATTGTTTTAAATAACTGCAACTTCAGTTCATAGCCTGGCAAGATTTTTGAATGCAGTTTTTGTTTGGACTATATTTTTATTACTTTTTAGTAAGTGTTGTAACCATGAATATGAGACTTGAGAACAACATTAGGCTTTTCAAGTAACTGAAGAGGAAGAAAATATTTATTGCATTGGATTAGTATATAGGGTATTAACTAATGAAATAATTGATTTGTAAATAGTTTGGAGGAAAAGCAAACAAAATAATATCTCTAAATTTTAAAAAGACTATTAAATAAACACAATTAAATATGTAATTCAGAATTCATGGTTTCATAAGTCTTGGGACTTCCAGTTTGAAAAACAAAAAAGAAATTTATATCCTTTAATTTTTTTTCACTCACAGAAATCCTATTCCACAACACCAAGATATTTCTACATAAGTCATAATGTCTGCTTTCATTTTGGTACCCTAAATGTTTACCTTAAAAACATCACAAGGCCCTAGCTGGTTTGGCTCAGTGGATAGAGCTTCGGCCTGCAGACTGAAGGGTCCAGGTTTGAGTCCAGTCAAGGGCACATGCCTGGGTTGCTGGCTCGGTCCCCAATGAGGAGCGTGCAGGAGGCAGCCAATCAATGATTCTCTCTCATCATTGATTTTTCTATCTCCTTCTCCTTTCCTCTCTGAAATAAATAAAAATATTTTTTTAAAAAAATCACAAGGCCTTATATCTCAAAGGAATGACATAGTAATTTAAGCTATATTGCATATTAAATTTTAGTTTTTTAATGAATGATTACAAATTTTGGTATCTTTGTCATTTAAATATATGTTTATTAATATACAAAACAGGATTCAATTACAACAGGTCATCAAGTAACGTCTTTTCTTTCAATGTCATTTTGTTATAACATTGATTAGATGCCTTAGGAACTTAACTCTTGTTTATGTCAATCAGCCTATTGTAAACTGATTTTGTTTTATGTTGCCTCACTTAAAATCTGAGGACCTATCAACAAATTTAAGTGTACTTTATATAAGAAACATTTTTCTAAGAGTTTTTTTAAAAATACAAAGGCTTGCCTATGGAAACTGTCAACTACTCCATCACTAGATGGGTTCATTCGGAGAAAGTTTTACGATCACATATGAATCATTTAAACATCATACTATGCCATAAAGATATAGTAAAGAACAAGACTGAGTACCATTCCACAATATTAACATTTTCTAATGTAGGAGACAAAGATAGAAGTGAGGTTATAATAAATGATATAGGTTCAATAACACAAGATTGTACAGTGATACAAGGTAGTATGGAAGCCCAGAGAAGGAATAGGTCAAATTCAAGCGTTAGTTTTTCCCTATTGCTTCCTTTTTAAATTTTTCATCTTTTTTTTTTCTTCTTTCAGAACTGAGCTAAAAAAGCGGGTGCACATTTTGAAGGCAACTCTATATGTTTTAGATTTTCACTGTAAAATTTTAGATTATATATAGACTAAGGCGGAGATGCATATGAAAGTTGAAAAAAATAGGCACATTAGTTTTAGAGACCTTGATAGATGATTAATACATTTCAAAAATCAATGACTATTATAGAAGTAAAGTGGCATCACTTATCAGTGGATCCAATGAGAAATCAATGATAAAAAACCATAAGTAGGGAAAAATAATGAGCTATCGGATGATGTCAGTTTGAATATGGCAGAGAATAAACATAATCTCAAAGAAGACATGTTACCTCTCTGAATTAATTTCCCACCATTTTTCCCTTTGCCCGATCTGCTCTGCTCTGATTACATTGTACTCATAAAAGTTAAACACATTTCTTCCTCAGGGCCTTTACATTTGCTGTTCTTTTATCCAGAAGAATATTCCTCCAGATATTTGCATAACTTACTTCTTAATATCCTTCATTTCTCTGCCCAAATGTCTCTTTATTAGAATGTCCTTTCTGGGTCATCCTGTATTTTTAA